TATATATATTATACATTATATTATCATTATTTTAAGTTATATTATATAATTATTATTATGTATATAGTTGGTTATATGTATAAATATATTATATGTAATTTTTTTATACTATATTATAAAATATTTGATAAAAACTTTTAAAAACCGTTTTTTATGTATGAAGTACTGTTTATTGATGCATATTACTTAAAATTCAAGATTACAAATAATTTTACGTAAGTATAACTTATTAAAGCTCCATTTTTAAATTCGTGTAACTAACTACAGATAAACATAATCAATTACAGAATAAACATCTATTTTAAATATAGAAAATCTAAAATATAATTAAGATAATCATTGAGTTTTAACAGAATGTTTAATTATTATCTTTATAAAAAAATTATATTATTAAACCAAAAATAAATTATTTTGTTATTAAATCTAAATTAAATTATAATAAAAAATTGAATGAAAGAAGTTGCACCAAAAAAAGCGACAACTATTAAATAGTTAATTTGATACTAATAATGATTTAAGTTTTTCAAAATTTTATGATATCTCTCCAAATTTATATTTCATTCAAAAATAAAAACATTATCGTTTTGTCAAAACCACATAAAATCGTATTATATCAATAGAAACAAATAATAAAAACTAAACATTAAAATGAAGATTTATCTCGCTGAATGCACGAGTACCCTTCTAGTATATATTAATATACATATACACATATACATTATCTCTTATATACTATTATTTTAAGTTATATTATATAAATACACATCTTTTACAACTCATGTTAATCGGTCTTTTACAACTAAAAAACCCCTTAGACGTAGTTATTTGAACCGTTATCATTTGTTAACTTGAATAAAATAAGCTATTAGGAACCAGCGAGACACGGTTCTGTCTTCAACAATAATTATAATACAGATTCATATTAATTATTTTTTATGTTTTATTTTTATACTTTTACAATTATTTAAAAAAATAATAGTGATGTTTATATTAATAAGTATATTTTATTTTTAAATAAAAGTTAAAAACAAAAAAAAATCTTAACATTTATGAAATGTTTATAAATAATTTATATAATATAAATCTATACTATCTTATAAAGCATTTGGCTAAAACTCTTAAAAATTCTTAAAATTTTTAAAAACTCTTAAACCCGTTCATCCCTAAACGATTTCATTTCTATCCAATTTCATCTCATATTTGAATTCGTGTAACTAA